AGGGACCTTCCGGTTACCGGATCCACAGGGAAACCGACAAATTCGGAATCGAGCTGGGTAGGACCACAAGGGCGGCAAAACTCTCCCTCAAGAGTTTTAATACTGCTGCATTCTCAGGGCTCGAACTCAAGACCACTGGTTAAACTGGAAGAGACTAAAGTCATCTCATCCAAACGCCGTAACTAATAATATCCTCATCCAACTAACACAATGAGGGTCTAGTCATTAAATCCAACTAATAAAAATTATTGACCGTTAAATCTAACGGAGAGTATAGATATTGCTATAAATACTGTTGCTGCATTAGCTTTGCATGAAAAGTCGAACCCGCCCACACAAAACCCACACCACCAACAAAATGTCCGCGCCCGGCGAAAACCTCACCGTCCTTTGCCGCACCTCCGTCTCGCCTTCCACCGGCGCCGCCGCGGACCACCGGCTCCCCCTCACCTTCTTCGACATACTGTGGCTATACTTCCACCCAATACAGCGCCTTCTTCTCTACCCTTACCCATGCTCCACCGACACATTCCTGCAAAAAATCGCCCCAAATCTCAAAAATTCCCTCTCCAAAACCCTCAATCGCTACCTCCCCCTCGCCGGAAATCTGATCGTTCCCCAAAATTCCGACCTTCCGGAGCTCCTCTACTCTCCGGGAGACTCTGTCCTAGTCACCTTTGCTGAATCGAACGGGGATATCGATTTCAGTTCCCTGACCGGAAACCATCCACGAAACTCCGATCAATTTCACTCCCTGGTGCCGGATTTTCCCGATCCCAAATCCGAAATAGGATTCGTCAAAATCCCTGTTTTAGCTGTTCAAATTACTCTGTTCCCACAAACAGGGATTTCTATCGGCATCACAAACCATCACTCGTCCGGCGACGCAAGCTCGATCGTCGGGTTTATTAAAACCTGGAGCTCGTACGCCAATCTCGCCGTCGGCCACGAAATCGATAACGAAACCGATAATGAAAATCTGTTACCTCGTCCGATTTACGACAGGTCCCTGATTAAGGACCCGTTGGGCCTAACCGAAATATTCTGGGCCCAAATGCGGGCCGATAAAATCGGGCTCCCGGCCTCGAAATCCCCGCCAAATAAACTCCGCGCGACGTTCGTCCTGCGAAAACATGAAATTGAGATGCTGAAAAATTTGCTGACGGCCCGAAACCCGGGCCAGGCCCACATCTCGTCATTCACCGTGATCGCGTCCTATGTGTGGGCCTGCCTGTCAAAGTCCATTGGACCCATCAAAGACGACGAGCCCGAGTACTTTGTGTTTGCCGTCGATGCCCGTGGCCGAGTGGACCCCCCCTTGCCAGAGGGGTATTTTGGGAACTGTGTGGCGGCCGTGCTGACAGATTTTAAGCACGGTGATTTAAGGTCGGAAAACGGGTTTTTCGAGGCGGCGAAAGTGATTGGGGAGGTTATAGCAAATAAAGTGAACAATAAGGAGGAGTTGTTTAGAGGGGCGGACGAGTGGCTGACGAGTTACGGGCCGTTGCTAGGGAAAAGACTCTTTGGAGTGGCGGGCTCGCCTAGGTTTGATTTGTACGATGGGGCGGATTTCGGGCTCGGAAAGCCCAAGAAGTACGAGGCGGTGTCGATTGATTGGGGCGGGTCGATGTCGCTTTGTAAATCGAGGGAGTTTGAGGGAGGTTTGGAGATTGGTTTGTCTTTGGTGAAGGAGGAAATGGATGCTTTTGTGCCTCTTTTCTATCATGGGTTGAAAATGTAGTGTTTTTCTTTGGCTTTGTGATTTAAATGTGTAATGGAGTGTGAGATTTGTTGTTGATGGTGAAGTTGCATTTTCAGGTAGGGTTGCAGTTGATCAGTCCAACGTTAACATTATCGAGCCAGGATTGATTTTTCTGCCGTTCTTGAGCTCTAACTCAATGCATCTTCATGTGCCGTGTTAAACGATACAGAAGTCTGATCTCGATGAGGCAAACTTTTTTCAATATAAATTTATATATTTTCACATGTAATATGTAAATGTCTTACTATGGGAAATAATGTGAACAAAATATCTCACTATGAGCTAGCTTAAAAAATATGACAGTTACGGTGTATAAATTCATATTGTGCCCACATAACTGTCGTATAAATATGACATATTTTTTGGCCAAATCAAATTTTTGGTACGTAGCTTATAAAATTCACGTATGCAAATAAATGTATGCAAATATATTTTGATTTGGTAATACGTGTTTTTTTTTTAAGCTTAAGTTCATTCCATAAGTTTGATTGAGTAGATTTTTAATTAAGTTTTTAAAAATTTCTATTTTGACATGCTTATTGGATAATTTTATTAAAACATCTTAATCATACCAACTATTTTTTCAGTCATAAAATATCAACTATAAATATTTTTTCAGGTCAATGATACTTAATGGACTCACTTTCAAAGTTCGAGCCCTGAGAATGCAGCAGTGTTAAAACTTTTAAGGGAGAGCTTTGCCGCCCTTTTGGTCCTACCCGGCTCGATTCCGGATTAGTCGGTTCCCCTGTGGATCCGGAAACCGGAAGGTCCCTGTACCAAAAAAAAAGTTGTTTGAAATTTGAATATTACCACTTATTTGGCTACTACGAAATTTTCAACGAGTTCATTTGCCAAGTAGATATGTCTGTATGAGACAACAACATGGGGCATCCATAGCCTTTTCATTGGGACACTCTTGGGAGAAATAACAAAAATCGTGTCGGCAAAAATCTTGGTATATATTTCTCAAGTTCACGAGGCTAATAATCATCGTACATAATGATTTTTCATTTTCAAAATTCAAAANNNAAAAAAAAAAAAAAAAAAAAAATATGCGAATCTGTTAGATTATATGGTATTTAGTAATGTTAAAGTTGTAATTTTTCTTGTATGAGTAAAACACGTTTTTACTCAATATTATGTTGTTTCTAGAATAGGTATAAATAGGCATTAGGGTTAGTTTTCTCATTCTAAGTTTTGGTTTTTCTCCTCAGACGGCTCTTCACTTTTCTCTCTCTTTCTCTCTCTTAATCTTTCCTCTCAATTCATCTATACTCTGTAAATCTTCAATCGTCGATTATTGATAATGAAATCTTTGATGTTTTGTTCGATTTCCTGTATTATGGTATCAGATTACGGGTTTATTCTTCGATTCGCATAAATTTTCCGCTGTTCTCGTTCAATTTTCGTTCAATTCTCGTTCAATTTTCCGCTGTTCTCGTTCAATTTTCCGCTGTTTTCGTTCAATTTACGGGTTTAGAATCACATACAAAATATATAAAACTGATACATCAGAACCTGTGATGGAAGATTGTTGTACAGAGAACTCATGAAGAAACCATAATTTTCATTCACTTATTTGATAAAAACTACCAGACAATAAAACAAGCCCAAACACAAAACATAAATAAATACAAATAACATAAATAATCATAATAAATATAATAACAATTAAGCTAAAGACTGAATCCGATCATGTTTGTCGAGAAATGTCTATGTACTCTCGTCGACATCAAAAACTCGAGTAAGAAGAATAAAAATGATAACTAGAACCAGAACCGTTTAATTCATATGAAATGATTTTTGTAATTTTGAATTGATTAGTATTGATTATTTAATAATTAAATAAAATATTAAATACATCAAAAGTAACGGTTTTTAGAGAGAAATAGTTAAATTGTCACATAGGTAAAAATTAAATAGATTTTATTAAATACTATTAGCTAGTAATTATATATATAGATTCTCAAGTAATCCGACCAAATCGGTTATTTTTTATTCGATTTGACACGGTTTTGATCATGTAGCTTTCTGACACACTGGGTTGCAGCCTTGCAGGTCTTCATTGTGGGCCTGACCATAAACGAATGAAAATATCAGTTTAAGTCCATTAACGATCAGTACGCTATTAGCAATAAAGGTAGGCCCAAAATATATAAAGCTGCACTAGAACTCACAGTAAGTTGGCCCATTTAGCCCCAAATTCGTCACAAATACTTTCCCCGTATAGTATTTAGTGTTTACAAGGGCAAAAATACACTAGCCATTCATAGAGATTGTTCAATTAAAGTAAGAAATAAATAGGACTTAATAAACTATATAAAAATCGTTCCTTTTTAAATGTTTCAAGTTAAAAAAGTTGCAAACTTAAATCATCGATCTCGGAGAATTATTATCTTCGATTAAAGTTTAAACTACACACATCTCAACAATAATATTTATGTCTTGAGATTACACTTCCACAAAAAATAAATAAATAAATTTTTGGTCTCCACTTGTGCGGATTAACAAGAACAACAAGAAAAAAATTTTAATCAACCAATTTAATTTAATATTATTCTTTAACTAGATGATCTTGAGAAAATTGTAGGAATTTTCACCTCTCTCTCATATAAATATTTTCAAAGGATAATATGCGAGGGCAAATTAGATTTAAACTGATACATTACATAAAAAAAAAAATTCAAAATTTTCTTGAGAAAATTACCCTGTAGACAAACAAAACAAAGAAATATTGCATCTATACGAATAAAATTATTTCTTTGCAAACATAACAAGTCTGTCAAAAATAATTGCACTAATACAATATACACTTACAACCGTTTTTTTATAGATAATTATTAAAGAGGTAGTTTTTGAATAGTAACTTCCTAATTATTGGGATTCTAAATGTAACCCCATGACCATTGACGTTTTTTTCTCTCAGTAATCATCCATGAGTACAACCACCTCCATTAATTTACTTTACTTTTCACTCCATCTTCCTCAATCATTTTTTTTTCTCCTTCACTGTTCGTTTTTTAAAAAAAAAAATACAACAAAGATGCCCGACTATTTATTTTGTTCAATGAAAACTTGTATAATGATTTTCTCGATTCTTCTGAAGAAAACCGGCACGGTCGCCGCAAAATAAAACAGGGATCCGTAAATCGGTCGTGGAGAAAGCGAAGAAGAAGAAGACAGAGAGGCTGAGTGAGTTAAAACGCCCGAGGCCGAGAAGAAGAGATAGGGGCACGGTGAGATTAGAGGACGATGGTGGAGGGAGGCGGAGGAAAAGGAGAGAGAGGGCTAGGGTGCGGAGAAAGAGAGGACAAGTGGTGGTGGGATAGGAGGCAGAGATGATGGGATGAGGAATTGCAGAGACGGTGAAAGCGGCAGTGGCACCGTCGCAGGCAACAATATGTATATAATTTGTATATATTACGTATATTGTATGTATATAATTCATTTTGTATTAAATAGTTTAGAAGCTGTTATCAATCAACACCAGTAGGTTGTATATGTTCAGTATATGTAATGTATATGCGACATTTTTTTGTGTCGTGTGATTTTTTTTTGGAGCATGTTCATTAACAGAATTTTCTTTTTGTATATCTTCTGTATATATTGTGTATATAATGACTATATTGATTTATCTTCTATATATATATTTTCTTTTGTGTCAACTATATACAATGAGTATATATGATGTATATGTTCCCGAAAAAATATACTGTTTTTTTAATAGATGTTAAGGTCAACAGTATATTTTTAGTATATGTACATGAGTACGATTTCAACTTGTTTTATATACTGTAAATATACGTGATTTTATCTGATTGTCATCAGCAATTTGTTGTTTTGGTATAATAGAAAATTATTGCAACATATACTGAATATATAAGTTTAATGTACATTTAATAACACTATTAACATGTTGCGATGCTAAAAAATAAACAAAAAGCAGTTCAATAAGTAAAAAATACGTATGTTTGACGAAATATGTTTTCACTATTGTGGAATTTGTGTATATCAAGAAGAAAAATTGTTTGTAATTAAAATTCATAATCTTTCCTATTTGTATTGAACAAACTCCTAATTAATAGGAGAGAGAGAGAGGGAGAACGAGAGAGAGAGAGAGAAAGAGAGAGAGAGAAAGAGAGAGAGAGGCGTACCTCCACAAATTAAGGAAGAGTTGCATTTCAGTTTGGTAACTGAAATCCTGACATTTTTTTAATTAATTACCATATAGTTGGTAAAAATGCAATAAAATATATATTTATGATATAGTTACAATTACTTTCAATCGGTTAAGTAAAGATAAAATTTTTCCAATTTTCTTTTATATCGCACGGTAGTCTTAAAAATCTAGTGTACCACAGAGATATCATCACCACACAATTACACAGACCCACGCACAGAAAAATTTTCGATGCTTGCTACTGTCCATGAGGCCCAATCCAACAATATTGGGCTAAAATGGATGAATAAGGCTAATATATTTCCTATAGAATTGAAGCCCAAACCAACAATATTGAAAAGTTGAAGCCGCAAGTTTGACTAAAATATGGAACATAGTATGTGATGATGTCCGAGATTTTGAAGCCATAATAACAAAGTACAAACTGCAATGTCTTATTCAGCTAACAAAATCGTGACATCACTAATTACGCACTTTATTGTGACGTTTTAATGTAAATAAATACTAGTAATAATTAACCCAATGTGTCGGTTGGTAACAAGCACCTCCAAGTCCAATTATTGCGTGGTGGGGAGAACATATATATATGCGTCCCATCTCTATCGTTTAAAATAAATATTTTGAATTTTATCGTGTTTTTATCAATCTATATCAAATTTTAGTAATTAGTTTTAATTTCAAATACGGATTTGTTTGAAATTATATGGAGAGAAAAATTAATCATTCGTGAATTCCGGTTGTTATGACTTGAACTCAAACTCAGACTTACTTCGAGCTTCATCAAAGCTCGATTTATTAATGAGCCAAGTTGATAAAGACTCGAACTCGAACACAAATATCAGAAGTTTGAACTCCGCAATTGTTTTTTAAATGACTATAATAGAGTATAAACACAAACACACGCAGTCTGTGATGCTTATTGTAAAATGTCACGGTCAAAAGACAGTCAAAATCTTAACTACATTTTAGTTTGCATCTCGAACCTTTATTGGCATGCCCTTGATTTTACCCGTAATTAGATTTGTGGACCCGACAACACTCTCTCTCCACGTGCACTATCACATGCCGCCATCATTGCGACCGACAACACAATACTTTTACACACACTCCACAGTACTCACAAAAATACATTAAAACAACAAAATAACAATAAATATTGAATGTAGCACAACAGTAATTATAATTAAAGTGTTCTTAAATTGACAAACAAAGCCAAAGTCCACCCATAATTCAATTCACAAAAAATACAGAAAATAAATCACTTTGAATTCCTTTTCTGTCCCTCTGCTCTGATTGCTTAAAAAAGCACAGCTTTAATTAAATTTCACACAAAAACAAAAAGAAATTCATAGTAAATTAGAAAAACGTAAAAATAAAAAGCAAACCTGGTTGAAATGACGATTTAGGACATGAAAACGCCGGCGAACACCAAACCCGATAATGCCAGCACCATCTTCACAACCGCCGGAGCTTCCCGAACGCCGCTGGAGTTACCCGACGTGCTGTTTTCCGAGTCCGCGGCAGGTCCCTCCGACGGCGCTTCGCCGGGAGAGCTCGTCGGCGGCGCCGGAGGGGAATGCATAGGTGTCGGAGCCGCAGATGACTCCGGCGCCGGAGCGTCGGCCGCGGGAGCAGGCGACGGGGATGTCTCCGGCGCAAGCCCCGGCGCAGGGGACGGCGCAACCCCGAAGAGTTCCACCGGCAGGAGCAAGCTGTCGACGGTGAAGATGCAGAGCGGGGTCGAGTCGAGCACGGTGGAGGCGATTCTCGACGAGTCCACCCCGGTGTCGAGGCTCACCGAGTCGCCGGCCGTCGTTACGCCGAGGTCGTACTTTCCGGCGCCGTTGGTGGCCAGGGTGGCGATTTTGCCCCTCGTCTGTTTAAGGGTCCCAACGGGAGTATAGCTGGCGAGGGCGTGGTACTGTAGGAGCGAGACCACCTCGGCGTTGGTGAGTCGACTCAGATCCGGAGCGCCGGCTGCCTTGAACGCCTCGTCGTTGGGCGCGAATACAGTTAGGCCGTCGCCGGCGGCCGACTGGTACACCTTCAGGACGCCGGTCGACGCAAGTAGCCCAGCAAACGTCTTGCACCCGGCCTTCTCCAGCAGCGCCGTCAGGTTGACGTCGGATGCCGCCGGCGCCGGCGCCGACAGCACGGCGGCCGGCGCGATGGCCTTGCTGACCTCGATGACGGAGACGTTGTACGGGATCTGGCGGACAGACTTGGTGAATGTGGAGTCGAGGAGCGACCCGGCGGCGCCTGACCCGAACCCAACCCGGCCGCCTCGGAGGTCAGTAATGTTAACGAAGCCGAGGCCGGGGGGTGCGTTGCCGGAGGTTTGGTAGAGTGTGGTGGAGAGGACGGAGCCGTCGGAGATCTTGTGGAGCTTGGCGGCGTCGAAGTAGTCGAGGAGTACGTGGAGGGCGAGGACGTTCTTGACGACCGCGAGGGGGCGGCCGCCGGAAACGACGGAGGAGAGGGCGGCGTTGGAGAGGACGCAGACGGTGACCGGCGAGCGGCTGTTGATCTCGTCGGCGAGCTTGGTGCGGGAGAGGAGGTCGTTGAACTGGCTGTACTCGGGGTAGGCTGAGAGGATCTCTGTGATGTTGGTGGCGGAGGCAGCGGCAGCGAGGAGGGCGGCAACGGCGAGGAGAGAGAGTGTGATGGAGGAAGCGGCCATTGTAGGGGGCAGATTTTTGCTTCTAATTATGTATAGTGTAGGCAAAGAGTTGTAGGGTTTTATAATTTGTTTTTGTTTTGTGTTTTTCGTTAAGGAGCCGTTTGGTTGACTCTCAAAATGATTTAACTTAAACTAATGTAGATGATAAACTTTTTTTATATTCGTAAACTA